AGGTTCCTTCTCAGACATCAGTTCACTGCAGGCACTGTAGACATTCATAACTGAAGTATTAAGACTCCAAGGTCTGAATGAAAATGCCTGCATGTGGAAGTATCAGCAGACACAACAGAACAAGAATGGAAAGAATGGATATGAAAGACAGCAGACAAATCAAGGAATGGTGAGGAATCTGCTTTTTGCATCAATTCTAGAAGACCAAGCATTCGGTTTTGTTACTCGCATATAGGTATTTTTTACCCCAAACTCATGCTCTGATAACATGGGCTCATATAGCATCTTCCCAACAGAAAGACAAGCAATAGCCATAAAGATGGCAAAACAATAGTATACAGCAACAAGCAGAAGCTCTTCCTAAGGTTCCTAGAGAATATGGGAAGCAAGGTTCTGAGGCAAAATCACTGCGTAATAACTGCTTCTATCAATATAAATATGAAAGACTTGTTCAAAAAATATTTGTTGTTGCCAGCCAAGAAAAATCCAACATACTTAATGAGGACATGAGCTGGCGCCCTTGTCCTCAGCAGCCCTGATCACATCATGTGGACATGACTGAGACAGTTGGCTGTGTGTGGCAATGAGATCCCCTAGCTAGCATCTCTCTACTGTGTGGGTGAAGCTTACCTTCAATGCTAACCATAAGGGTCTTATTACTGGTAGTGATTCTCATATTTCCACCCAATGCATTTTTCAGACATCTGAGGTGGATTTTTTTTCCAGTGAGAGGAATGTAAGTGCCCTCAGCATAGTTGTTTTTGGCAAGCAGTGTTTTTCTTCCAATTTCTTGTTAAATTCATGGCACTATCTAACTAGCGCAGGTCAGCAGATCAAAGTCCTTCATTGTTCCTCCCTGCAAAAAGACAAACCACAACAAACTACATGGTTTTCCTGCCAATCAGGGAGATCAGGGAATTTTTTGAAGCCTTTTAGCAATATATTGCCAATGTGTCACTGCATTCTGCAGGCATAATTCCCTAATGACAAAGAAAACTCTCTGCATTTGAAAAAATACTATTTACAAATAGATTATATCTCTGGGGTCAGAATACTCATTTCCAAGAATAGCTCCGACCCAGCTTGACAACACAGAGATGCTTCCACTGAGATCTCATAGGAAAGAGCTGTTGCTTTTTGAGTGCACCAAAACATATGTGCTACCCAGGGCATATGAATAACTTGAGGTTATTCTTGGCAGAGCAGAGCCTATTCCTCCTTGTCCTATCACAGCCAGTGTGTGTTTTGTTATTGGCTTTCCTGAATACATTCAGTCAGGCCCAAATTCACTCTGCTGGTTGCATTATATAATCATTAAAAGAACAAAAACAAAAACAGGAATAGGTGATTTATACAAAGAATAACTGGCAGACATTCTCGCACAATATTACATATTTACAATCTCTAGCTTTTGTAAATGCTGGTAGAAGTGCTCATCACACAGTTCTGGTTAAATGGTAGGGTTTGTAAAATGTGCACACAACATCTCAGTAAAGGAAGTTCTTTAATATTCTTTATTGGCTGGAGGAAAGTGGGTGCCAAATACAACTGTGAAATGGGAAACAATGCACAAAGGAAAAGTTCCAGAACATCAACACATCCGTTCCTTTCCTGCCATAAATAACCAACACACCCTTAACAGCAAGACTAAATGGCTCCAGGAAACTCTCATTAATGAAAATGTCCTAGCTGAGCTTCTCACTTTCAGTTGGAACTTTTCTGACCTGGAGAGCAGACAAGTTGTTCTGTAAGTAATAGGAGGCACTGAGATAAACTCAGATAAACTAAAACTAGCCCACTATCCGGAGAGACTTAAATCTTCCTCTCTCATTGCCCAAGCATTAATGTTGAAAGGCAGAGCTCTGCTGCAGTTAAAATCAATGACAAAATCCTGCACTAAGTCTATAAAGACACAGCATTTGTTCCAGCATCTGCCCTTCAATTTTCTGGAAACCAGAGATAAGGCAAGAAACGAAAATATGCGTATATGTACTACATGCAGATAAGTTTTGTTATAAAATATAGCAGCTGTGACATTCTTACAGGGAAAGTTGCAGGGTGAGTCAGGATGCATAGACAGCGTATTTTCTGCACATCAAAAGCTACACGGTAAGGATAACCATAGCAGCCATTAGTTCATGGGGTATTTTTATTTATATTAGCATATTTCACTGTATAACAATCAGATAACAGAAACTCAACCACCAGCTTTAGCTCCTTGACACTTTTACTACAATATTATCTTAAATTTGCAACTGGTCAAGAAAGTTTCTTAACTTTTAATGGTGCCACTAAACACTGAGTCATTAAATACAATACCAAAACAACCTCAGGAACGATCCCTACCTCTGATTTGTCCTGGCAGCTTCTCAATCAATTTGATTTCACAATCAAATTTTCCTGCTCAAAAAACAAAAAACAAACAAACAAACAAAAAGCAACAGACACTTCTTTCCCCAGTTCCTGTACAGAATGTATACAAACTACAGGGAAGCTGCCTTGCTAATTAAAAAGAGAAAACAGTCCAAATGAATAACATTTGCCATATAGAAAAGGGGCCAGATCCTCTGTAATTAATCATGGCGCACATTCCTTGTTCAGGAAGGCTTCCTGCCAAGTGAGATGCCAGGGAGCCATTATGAAGGAGAAAGTAACATGAGCTGCAGAAAAGGAAGGTGGTACAATTTAATTTGACATATACAATGCCTTCAAAAAAAAAAAAAAAAAAAAAAATTATCATATACTATTTCTGGAAACTTGCATTTATGGGGCTACCATCCACAGCACAGGGATGAACTGTATCTTGCCCAGCCTGTGTGTGTCAAACACAACAAAACGTCACCCCAAGCTTTCTGGTGCTGTGGATATTACTGGCTCCACTGCAGCTCTGGCTTCTATAACATAGAAAGAGAAGATTCAGAATGAAAACTACAGAAAAACAAATGCAGGTTTGGTTCTAGGCAGCTGACACAGCAAATCACTGTGTGCTTGGACTGCACAGAGCACAGAATTAGGCATCCAGCAAGCCTTTGCAGTCAGAAGAGACTTGAAATTGTGAAGAGATGGTTGACAAGCTAGGAAGGTAACTGCTTAAATTTACTGGTTGGAAGACCGCTAAGGAGAGAGCTTGACAGAAGTGCGTCCATCCTTGGAGTTACAAATGTTTAAATCTGTAACAGGAGGAAACATCATCTACTGCTTGGGATTCGCTGCCTAGGGCTTCTCTCCAAATGCTGTTACCCTGGTTTCCCAAGAACAGTATGTGGATAAGGAGATGCAGCCTCTCCTCTTAAGAAGATGACGCAGGTCAATGGATAGACAACTGTCTCACGAGGTGTGAAGTCAAGCATGCTATTGAGCCAGAAGAGACCCAACCACAAGGTTCATGTTGTTCTTGCTCTAGCATACAGCAACTTCAATTTTCTTCACACATGCAAAAATATTTGAAAGGGGAGAAAAGGATGGAAGATTTCATCTCTACAAAATAGTTTGCATTCAATTAGCCTGGGCAGGGAATGTGCAGGGCTCTGGAGAGTGGCCTTGGACCCCAAATACATCCATATAGCCAAGGTAGGACATGTCTGACTCAGCACCACAGAATCACAGAATGGCCAGGGTTGGAAGGGACCTCAAGGATCACAAACCTCCAACCCCCCTGCCACATGCAGGGCCACCAACCTCCCCATTTAATACTACACCAGGCTGCCCAGGGCCCCCTCCAATCTGGCCTTGAACACCTCCAGGGATGGGGCATCCACAACCTCTCTAGGCAGCCTGTTCCAGCACCTCACCACTCTCTCTGTAAAGAACTTCCTCCTCACATCCAACCTAAATCTCCCCTTCCTCAACTTAAAACCATTTCCCCTCGTCTTGCAGTTATCTACCCTTTCAAAGAGTTGATTCCCCTCCTGTTTGTAGGCTCCCTTTAGGTACTGAAATGCTGCAATGAGGTCACCCTGCAGCCTTCTTTTCTCCAGGCTGAACAAGCCCAGCTCCCTCAGCCTGTCCTCATAGGGGAGGTGCTCCAGCCCCCTGATCATCTTTGTGGCTCTCCTCTGGACCCCCTCCAACAGCCCCCTGTCTTTCTTGTACTGGGGGCTCCAGACCTGGACACAGTACTGCAGATGGGGCCTCACAAGAGCAGAGTAGAGGGGGAAGAGCAGAGTAGAGAGGGAGCACCCTCATACAAGTACATGCAGTTCCTTACCATGTAGGCTCTGCGAAAAGCCATCTACAGCAATCTAGAAACCCCCCGGAGGAGAGTGCAAGCAGGAAAATCCAAGAAAAACAGAGAAGTCGCTTTTTCTCTCAGTCCTGCTGTGGTTTACTGGAGAACAAAAGAGGAGCCATAGGCTTGCCAGCTCTTCTGATTTTATGGGCCTCGTGGTATATATATTTTTTAATTGTTGACCCTTGAGACTGTGGGATTGTGAAGATTTGAAGTCTGATTTTAAGGAGAGGCTGGCATCTAGCTATTGTGGCTTCAGAGAAATGCTGGAGGTCGAGTCCCAGACCTCAAAAACTGGAGGCAAATATAAAGACAGTTAAGAATTGCCTGCACTCGAAGGTCTGGCCCAACGCTTTGAACCCCAGATGGCTGGTGGTGTCTGAGATATTGGACAGAAGAGTTTTCTGAGAATGGTATTTGACGGTTTCAAAGGGAACCTGAAGCGATCAGATTTGTGACTTCAGTCTGCTTTCTACAGCCTGCTGGGACCGCCGGCTGCTGAAGTATTTTCAGCAACTGCTCGCTGACCAAGCCCTGACGCTAAGTCGCCCAGTATGACCAAGGAGAAACTGAAATCCTCAGCCCTAAAAAACCATAACCACCGCTCCTCCGTCTGAGCACGAGCGCAACCCCAGCCTTGAGCGCCACAGGCAGCGCCGCCCAAGCGCAGCCCGGGGGCGCCAGGTGCCGCGAACAGCCGCGCCCCGAGGGCAGGCCCGCGGGTGCTGCCTCCCGCCTGGGCAGCCGCGCCGCCGGGCGATGCGCGGCGCAGGCTCCTCCCGCAGGCAGCCCGCCAGGCCCTCTCCTCCATCCCTCCCTCCCTCCCTCTCCCTGCCTGCTCCATCCCTCCTTCCTGTCGGCGCTGCGCACTGCTGCCCGCCGGAGCTGGGCCGCCCGGGATCGCGCCGCGGGCACCGCGCACACCCCCGCGGCATGAGGCCGCCGCAGGGCAGGGCGAGGCGGCGGCGGGTGAGTGCCGAGCCCGCGCCGGGCGGCTTTCGCCGGCGGCGCCTCCGCGCTGGGGGCTGCGCTCGCACCTGGGAGGGGGCCGCGCCGGGAAGCGCCCCCCTCGTCCCTACACCCGCCTCGAGGTGGGGCGAATGGCGGCGGGGGGGGCCCGGCGCGGGGCGAAGCGGGGCGGCGGGGGTGGCGAGCTCCTTGCTGCGCTGCCTTCCCGCGGTGCCTCCGAGCGGAGGGGCACGGAGCTCCCGCTGTGCCGGCGGCGCCTCGCAGGGCCGCGTCTCCCGCGTTGGCCGGCGCTCGGGCCGGGGACAGGTGGCGGCGGGGCGGGGGGCGCGGCGGGCGTGGGCTCCCCTGGGGGAGAGCGGCGGGGAAGGCAGCCGCTGGCCGGAGCCGGCGGTTATATAGAGGCTGTGTTGTGTCAACAGCTCATTCTGCTGGCCGGCAAGTTGGTGGGTTCAAGGACCGGGCAGCGGGTAAATATTTACGCCTCTTTTTTGCGTGCGTTTTTATTTATCATTACTTATTATTTTTAAAGTAGCATCTATCCAATAATTAAAAAAAAAAAAAAAAAGAAAAGAAAGGAAAAGAAAATAAAAGGGACCTTGGGAGGGGAATGCAGAGCCCTTTCTGCGGCCAGGAGCATCCGGACGCACCTCGCACGCCGGCAGTGGCACGGCAGCGTCAGCTCACCGCCTCTATTTTAAGGGATTGAATTTATGGTGCCTTTAGAGAGCGTGCTTAAAAAAAGATCACCTTAAGCCTCTAAGGCGGTTCTGGAAGAAACGTCATTCCCTGTTACAACTTAGTGTGAGCGGGGCATGTTGTGCTGGGTGCTGTGCCGGTAAGAATTAGCGATGGATGTGGCTTTTCTGTTTCCTAATTGTAAATGCCAGGGGACTTTGCTGTAAATGAGAATCGGGCTTCAGATGAGTATTGAAATCCCCTTGTATCTGGGGGACCTCAGCTTTGTGCTGATGTGTAGGAGCTCTCCTTTTGATTCTCTAATCCAAACATTTCATGCTTAAAATTTCTGTTGCAAAAACAGTCAGATTCTCATTTTCCACAACCAAGTTGACCATGTTGTGTTAAATTCCTCTAGGAATTTAACATCGCATCACACAGGGAATGGGTAGCTTTCTTCTGTATGTGAAGTTTGGCTTGTTACTTAAGCAAGGCGATGTGGCTTGTTTCTTTGACATAACATCTGAAAGTCTTTTCTGCCTTTTTTCATTATTGTCTTTAAACTCTTCTTAAACCTTCAGCATGTAGCTTGGACCCTAATCAGTTTTGGCAGGTCTGTCATCTGTGTGGAAGATGAGGGTCTACGTCGTGCCACATTCCCTCTCCAAGGGAACTGTGTTGTTTCATGTTGTTGTTCTTTTGGTGCACATATGTTTTATTAATACAGCTTTGTGCATCCTGTGGGGAAAAATGCATAAACTTGTCAATTTGCAAGAAGTCTTGTTCTCAGCTTCTCAACCATTGTATGTTATATGGTTGTGGTGATAAAGATAAGCACTGAATTCCGTTTGTTTTTGGTGATAAAGGACAGCGAGCAATCCTGGATTGGGCCCCAGTGATTCAAAAATAAAACAAAAATAATGTTTGATGAAGGAAGGATTAGGATGTGGGAAAGGCAGAAGCAAATGCAGGGAGAAGTGCAGAGTGAGCAGTGCCGTGCTGCCGCCGGTTGCTGCTGCTGAGAGGCGGCTGCCAGCTGTTAGCTGGGCAGGCGTCTGCAGGTCTCTGCTGAGAGGTCTGCTGAGGCTGCAGAGGACAGCTTAGCGTCAGCAGGCTGCAGGTCTGCAGGGATGCGTATCTAAGCCAAAGGATGATGGAGGCGTCCACAAATCAAGAGCTTAAAGATCACTGCCTTGGAGCTGCTTTAGAGTATCGCTTTCAGATAGTAGAAGACCCGATTTGTTTGGTTTTTCTTTCTGTTTACTCAGTCTTCACATCCTTTCATCTTATCACTGTTTCACCTATTGCAACTTTTATCAGCGTTATTAAGTGATAAGAGTTTCCATTGTGCACTGTCCAAACATACCTTTTCAGTCACTTAGAGGAGCTGAAGGCAAGCACTATCGGGGGAGTCAGATTGTGCAGAATCCTTTTAAGGGTGTGCTGAGGAAAGGGAGAGATGTAACCTTTAGGTGAGGGCATGCCTGTAGACTTGCCAGATACTGTGGAAAGGGCAGGAGCAGCCATATGGGTGGAGATGCTCTCCAAGAAAGAAAAACTTATTTTCACAGGTGGAAAAGCTGCTCCTGCAACTTTAGCACTGAGCTCACAGCTCACAGCTTTAGTTTTCACATGCTAGATAAATTGCCATCTATTGTTACGAAGTCAGGTCTGTTTCATCATCATACGCATCCCAGGCTTACTCTTAGAACTTTAGTAAACATAATAGATCTGGTTTCATTTATACATCTTTATGTGTAATGCTGTAGCACAGTCTGTACTATTGATAAGAAGCAGCTCTGTTAGAGCATGAATTGTTTGATCTGGTGTGTGGCTGAAAGCAAGTTTTGTGCCATGAGAGCTGATGTATTTAAGCAGAAGGGTTGATATATGCTAGTAAGAATTATACCTGAAAAATTAAATACCTCAAGTAAAATATGTCTGGCAGTCTTAAGCAGTGGAGATTTTTATAGATTCTGACTCTATCTTGCAGAGTGCAGCGCATCATAAGGATGATGCAGATGGATTATGTTTTTCTGCTAATGACTCAGTAGATGATGCGACCAAGTGAATGAGGTTTTTGCCAGTTATTCTATGTGTTAGTGCTCAGAGGAAAGCAGAGCATGCTAAATTCTACCATACTGCTGTGTAACCCAAGGAATGTTCATACATTTGCTAAACGAAAACAAAAATCTTGCATGTTTTTGAAAGTCAGATTATCTTGTAATGAGCTTACTGGAGCTGTTGAATTAAAAAGACAGGGATCTCTTAGAAGTAGTCCAATGGATGGCCACGAAGGTGATAGAGGGCCTGGAGCGTCTCCCTTAGGAGGAAAGACTGGGTAACCTGGGCCTGTTCAGCCTGGGGAGAAGAAGATGGAGAGGGGATCTGGTTAATGTTTATAAATATCAGAAGAGAGGTGAGAGGCAAATGGATGAGGCCAGGCTCATGGTGGCACATAGTGATAGGACAAGGAGCAACGGGCTAAAACCTGAACATAGAAAGCTCTGTACTAATGTGCAAAAGAACTTCTGTATTGGTAAGGGTGGTGCAGCACTGGGAAGCTGCCCAGAGAGTTGTGGAGTGTCCTTTTATGGAGATATTCAAGACCTAGCTTTGTGTGATTTTTTGTGAGGTACCTGCTTTAGCAAGGGGGTTGGAGTCAATGATCTCTTGAAGTCTCTTCCAACCCCTGCAATTCCGTGATTCTGCGAATGGCAGCTCTCAGGGAAAATGCAAATGGAAATCAGGAAGCTCTATGGGATTGGTTTTGCTTCATTTTTAATAATACAGATAGGACATGGTTTTAACAGAAATACTGAGATCTTATGTTGAAACTGATGTTGAAATACAGAGTTGACTTAAGTGGAGGGATGTTATTTAGCAGTTCAAGGAAGACTTGATGAAGGAGATGTAAAGATATTTGCTTAAGTAAAGACAGTATGCATTACTCTGGGTTAGACATCAATCCATGCCTGCTGAGATGTGGAAAACAGGTGCGGAAATCAGTTTCACTGCTGTTAACAGAACTGTCTAGATTTACCTGCAGTGGTTTTGTGTTTCAGTGTGCCTTTTCTCCTGATATTGTGTTACAAATCCTTTTTGACTGTTAGGCATCTAATTTCTATCTAAAAAATAAGAAAAATAAACTACTTTCTTCTAGATATGGCATGAGGAGCGATTATGCCCAAAGGCCAGTTCATGTACATTACTCCATTGTAGCTTTATATTAAACTACTAAGCAGCTTAATATAAAAGATACGAGTAATCCGTGGGAGCAGGGCTTGGAGCACACAGTCCTCCAGTCTCCCTCACAAGGACACAGAGTTCTGCTCTGAGTCAGTCTTTATTGAAGCCATGAAGAGAAATGCCATCTACAGAAAGAATGGGGAAGTCTCCATCCTGGTTTGTCTCTTAATCTCGTGGTCCCCAGCATGTTCTGTACTCACTGGGCCACCCCAGCAAGTGGAGCACTGCTTTAGCTTTCTTTTCTTGACTACTTTTTTGGGGAACCTCATGCTGGATGGCTGTATGTGACCTCTGATGTTCTGTGAACATTTTATTGGCTGGCTTAGGTGAAAAAATAAATGCCTTGTGAATTTTGAGCATAGAAGTGTTAGGCAGGTGTTGTGGTCTTATCAAACTTGAGATATCTGCATATGTACATGTTGATGCTTACATAATTTATCATCTATCTTCTCCTTTTTCCCTCTCCTTTTTCCCTCTCCTTTTTCCCTCTCCTTTTTCCCTCTCCTTTTTCCCTCTCCTTTTTTTTTTTTTTTTTCCCATTAGTATTTAGCTGCGGCTAAATGGGATTTTGGAGCATGTTCTAGGTCTGTGCATCACAAATTCTGATTTTATATGTGCTTAAATATCTCCAGGGATTTCTTCCAGAATCTTCTGGATTTCTTCCAGACTCATTACTGTGGTGGTGAGGGCTATGTAAATTCCTAGATGGCTAGAGCTACTTTCTTACCTACCTTTGTGGGGTAGGGGACAGCTCAAATACCAGCCACCCACAAACAAAAGTTCCCCTGCTCCTTGTCTACTTTGCTTAATGAATTATGGGCCAACAGATATTAAGTAGAATTAGGATACCTAGCAGGTTCAAACTCTGGATAAGGCTTTGTGTAGTAACCACCAGGCTATTGCTGATCATTGCTGTCCTCCCTGCTTTGGTGAGTGTGTAATTCCTCTATTTACAGGCAATGGGAGCCCTCCAGGTGTGTGACTGCAAAGTCCTTGCCCTTCTTACAAGAGCCAGGAGCTTGTAGCAGGGTCTTTTGCCCCTTTACTGCTGCCTGCCTTTCTCTAGTGCACTCGCGAGTCACTCCTAGCAGTGGATTTCACTGCAAGGAGAAAATGCTTCAACTAAATATAGCTCTTAACCCATTGGTATGAATGCTGGTCAGGGTGTAAAGTTTTGAAGGGCATATGTCTCCCCTGCTTTCCATGCACTGTCTGTAGCTGGCACTGGAGCGATGACAAAGACTGTTGCTACAACAGAAGCAGCCTTCGTTTATCCCATAGGCAGAGAACTGCTGAGTTGTCAGCAGTGGAGTCCAAATTATGCCTTTTACCTCAGGGAGCACAAGTTATAAAAGCACATGTCCTGGAAACAAGAATGGCACAGTAGCAACTCCCTGCTCCTCTGCCTCACTTCTTACCATGCCAAAAAGCAGAGCATGAACAGTCTGTGTTGCCAGCTTGGTGTGGGGGTAGCAGGACGATTTCCCCCTCTTGGGCCACATGTGTCTGTGAGCAGAGTCTTTTCTCTTTCGTAAACCTAGGAACTGAGGGAAATCATTCTTCAAAACCAGAAAGTGCAGCATACTGGCCAGCCTCAGCCACCTGAAGTCTTCAATAGCTGAAGGTGGACTTTGGGTTGTTTTTATGCTCCAGCATCTTCCAGGCCAGCCAAAAATTTTCACTGGTACAGTATACTTGATTAGAGCATTACTGTGGGGCTTCAGGTGCACTGATAGTAGCTTTGATAGCATTGACTGAAGCATTTTAACTTCATGCCGAAGTGGCCTGGTTTGTAGTGCAGAATCATGGAATTTATGTGCAGCAGTGTGTTTGTACTCTGGATAATAAATGCTATCTGAAAAGTATGTGGGAAAGTTTCTTATGCTCATGTTATTTTGTTATTATTATGGAATTTGCTTAACGGTGTAATAAGCTCTTTATGGGAGCACTTTGAGCAGCTGGTTTTGATGGTTTCTGTGAAGTTGCATTTCATATTACTTGGACATTTGGGAGTGCTTCTACAATTGCATGTGTCTTGGAGAGCCCAGAGGACTGGCACATTTGGACAAGCAGGAGAGGAGGCATGGCTCTGCTCAGTGTGGGCTGGCTTGGGCAGGCAGCTGCCTTCTGGGGCTGTCTGGCAATATTTCTCTTATTCTGGGACCCCTCCTTTCTCTCAGATCAGGGCTTGTGCTGTCACCCAGAAGTACTTGTGCCAAGGCATCTCTGCCACTTGCCTTGGGACTTAACCCTGTTCGGATGACTGACTGTGGATTTGCCTCTCTTGAAACAGGTGATCTAATGGCCTATCCTAACTATAAAATCAGTAAGGATAGAGCTACAAAATGTCTTTCTCAAATAATTGATTTTAATAGTACTGCAGGGAAAAAAGCTGCTTAAATCAAGTGAACTTCAGAAGAAAATGACAGTGGTCAATTTTACACATTGGGCTTCTGTGGGCTCTGAAGCCCAAAGGTGAATATAAGTTACATGTGTTTGAACTGCAGCTAATTTTCACAGCGTTTTATGTTTTGAATCAGGTTCATCATCTGCGGCAAAAGAGAGATTTGACCTCCATGATTTTACAGCTACTGTTGAGCTAAGACTAAGAAGATAAGCTTTTAATGCTTAATCCTAGGAGGAGTTCTGAGAAAGAGACAACTTCAGTGTTGTCTTGAGATAGCTGTAACAAGCATCGGAGTACTGTGTGTGTGAGTTGCATGTACTTATTGCACGCTTCTTTTACTTCTGTTAGGGTTTCTGCTGGTAATGAGGATAATAATATCTGTTCCCTAGAGTCAACCTGTTCCTCTTCCTTTTCCCCTCCTTCCCCTGCTCCGTACTCCAGCAAAGGTCATAGCCATGAGAAGTCTTTAGTACAGAGGTCTCCAGGCACGTAACTCATAATTCATCTGCTAGAATAGCATTGTCACAGTTCCCAATATAGAACGGCCTTCCCCTCCAAACTGAATGTGATTGGCCGGTTTCTTCTCCAAAATGCTAGGAATTTTTCAAAAGAAGATATTTTTGGTCTAGTCTTGCTACGCGTTTCAAATGATGGAATTGGTGTGGATGTAAATCCAGCAACTTACTGTGTGACTGTTATTTTAAATATTACCTCAAAATTGGTACTTTGTCCACTGTGTATTGTCTTCCTTCAGTATTAAAACAGTTACAAGATCTGTGGGATTTTTATGTTAATCTGGGCTCACGTTAGTGTAATATAAACCTGAGACTTAAATTTTGAAATATTTGTGCTAAGACCATATTTAGAATTATTTTCAGGAATGCATCTGGTCTTAAGATTTCAAGCAGTTCATCCAGTCCTTGGAAAGCCTTGCCAATGCCTGCAGTGTCTGATGCATGGACTCAGATGTAAATGACCCAAATCGTTTATTACAAGTTCTCACATCACTTATATATCTTCACAAGCTTTCTAGCTTTCCCATCCACCTCTACATGTCAACAGAGCATTCTACACTCTTCAACCATCCATGCAGGCGCTTATCCAGTCAGAGTCGTGACATGTTCTTTCTTCTTCTAGAGGTGTCCTTGTTCTCATGTTGCTTATCTTGCTCCACTGCTGCTGCTCTGAACTGTTTTTCCTGTACTCCCACAAATGCCAATTTACTTCATTTAAAAAACAACAACAACAACAAAAAACCAACAAAAAACAACAAAACAACGCTTTTCAGTGATGGTCTGCAACAAGGCATTGTCTTTTGTATCTCATATTTCACAGGCTATGTTTAAAACTTTCTTCTTTGTATGTAATTGGGAACTGTGATCAAGTAACATTGTTAAACTCAATAGTTGTGTTATTTCAGGCTTTGCAGCAATGGATTATCTCCCAGACTTTTTCATTCTGCATGTAAACTGTCAGTACTGGATTAGACCATTTCCATTGCCAGTGAATGTTTAGTACTTCCCTTGCAGTGTTTGCTTGAGTTTTATAAGGTAGCCTCATCCATACAGACTGAGTTGTGAGGACATTTTTTTCAGTGACTTTTAACGTATATTTGGGTGATGGTAAAACTCATACTCTGAAAACGGAATATTTTCCAATAACTTATCCGTGTTTCAACTAATAAGCAGTGCAGGTAGTGTTAGTGTTTGAAGTACATATCCTTGAAAATACTGTGTTCTTTTGTTTCGCCCTTTTGCCCTGCAGTATACTTTTTGGCCAATCAGTAGGTATCTCTGGGTTGGAGATGAGTTTGGGCTGTGATTATTGCAGACAATAATATGAGCCAGCCCTCAGTGTTACAATAGCTGCCTGCAGAATTAGGTCATTAATGAGCTCTGAGCAGTGTTAACTTTTCTCACTACACATGTAAGCACAGAAGGTGTACGTATAATTGAGGATCTTTTCTGATGGAACCTCTTGCGCAGCATCTTCCCCACTGATTATATATGAATCTCTTAACTCCAGGTACCTACTGTGGCTGCCCGCTTTAGCGCTCAACTCTGCTGCACTGAAGAGTGAGGACTGAGTCCATCAAAGGCTCCTGCATCTGAGCTCCTGCCAGCAGTGCAAATGTAAGTGTATGCATAGCTTTATTCCTAAGGTCAGATTAGTCATAGTCAGGAGCAAAATGTGTACATATGTGGTTACTGAGATTATTTTCTCACGTAAATCAGCACTTATTTGTACAGCACTGTATGGCTTTGAAATACCTTCATTTCAGAGGGCACAAGTGATCTCTGATGGCATTTCGCTGTTTGGTTTGTGGGACTTGTGAAGAAGGTTCTGCAGTCTAAGCCCAGAGATAGGAAGAACTGTTTACTTTAAGAGATGTTTAACAAGTATTGCTAACAATCATCTCCTGTTCATCTTTTCTTTTGAGGTAAAGTGCACCAAATTTTAAAATCATAGAATCGTAGAATGCCCTGGGTTGAAAAGGACCACAGTGATTAACTAGTTTCAAGCCCCCTGCTATGTGCATGGTCATCAACCACCAGACCAGGCTGCCCAGAGCCACATCCAGCCTGGCCTTGAATGCCTCCAGGAATGGGGCATCCACAACCTCCTTGGGCAACCTGTTCCAGTGCCTCACCACCCTCTGTGTGAAAAACTTCCTCCTAATATCTAACCTAAACCTTCCCTTTCTCCGTTTAAAACCATTCCCCTTATCCTATCACCGTTCAACCCCGTAAACAGTCATTCCCCCCCCTGTTTATACGCTCCCTTTGAGTACTGGAAAGCCACAATGAGGTCTGCATGGAGCCTTCTCTTCTCCAAGCTAAATAATCCCAGTTCCCTCAACCTTTCCTCATAGGAGAGGTGCTCCAGCCCTCTGATCATCTTACTGGCCTTCCTCTGGACCCAATCCAAGAGCTCCACCTCCTTCCTGTACTGGGGGCCCCAGGCCTGGACGCAGTAGTGCAGATGGGGCCTTACAAGAGCTGAGTAGAGGGGGACAATCACTTCCCTCTCCCTGCTAGCCACCCTTTTTTTAGTGCAGCCCAGGATATAGTTGCAGAATATAGTTGCAGAATATAGTTGCAGAATATAGTTGCAGGATATAGACTGCAGACCTGGGAAGAGCAGAGTACTTTCCAAAGGTGTTTGAGTTGGTGGTGTTTCCAAATGATATGTGGGTTCTCGTAACTTCCAATGACTGTGGGTTCTGGTGAGATTGGCACAAGTTTTTTAGAAGGTTTTGCAAAAAGGGAAAACAAAAGTAATATGTCAGTGTTTCACACCATGAAGTTTACGTTAGATGTTTTGCAGCTCTCTGGATTTAGACAGGTAAGGGTTTAAGAACAGGCTTGGCTTCGTGAGTCATGTATGATATATCTTATTAAATGCACAAGGAGCAGAAGTTTTCCCAAGAAATAGAAGTGTAGAATAGAAGTAAAAATACACTGAAGCAGAATAAGTGTTTCTTATAACTTCACTGAAATATTAATGGTCCCATTAACTCCTCTTTACAGAGTTAGGTTTCATCTTGCCTCCTGTCTTCTCCACCCCTTGTGCTGACACTTCTCTCTGTAGCCACCAGCAAGACCACTGAGAGCAGTCGCACTCCTCTTGTTCCCACAGTTGGACTTGCTCAGCAGTTTAGGAACAATAGCTGCTTCATTGCTGAATCGCAAAACAAAAAAGTTAAATGTATCAGCAACAGTGCATGAAAAATGGGATGAAGAGCATTCCACAGGAAGGGATTTTTTCATGCCAACATGAATGTTTGTAGGATTCTGGGGGACAGAATCTAATAAGTAAGAAATTCTCTTTCCTTTGTACATCATCTGCCAGCTTAATGCTAAGAGATGTAAACCGTGAGATTTACTAATAATAGCAGGAAGGAAGAACCCTGTTAAACAAAGACAGCAAAATTGGAATGATTTGTGTGCGCAAAACCAAGGTTATTTTCCCTCTCTATAGCCTGTTTTTATGCTCACCCTTGAGAAGATATAACAACAACAACAGAAGATGTTCACTAGAATAACCTTGTTTTCAAGGGCGGGTTGAAGGACAAAAGACAGATCTAGATTACAGTTGTTACAGAGATGGTCATGTGAAAATATGTGAAGATGTGAAATGATGTGCGGTCGTGACTGAAAATTTATGATTTTTCTTATTCTACGCCTGAATCGGGTCAGGAGAAACTTGTGGAACTGACTCGCTGTGTCCCATTAGTAGCAGGCTCAATTTTCTTTGAGCTACTTTCATTTTTAAATTAGGTGCAGCATCATTAGCCTTACAGACGCTGCTGTCTCAGCACTTGTTGGTGGGTTATTGTCAGGGATTCAATTCACTGCTTTTGCTAAATACTAAAAGGAATGTCAGAAAGCGCTGCTCTATTCTTCACAGATAAAAATGATACATATGAGTCCTAGCCATTGTAACTATTATTTTAAAATGCTGAGATTTTAATGCTTTGTGTCTTTGGCTGTGTATTTCAGTGCTGCAGAGTTTGATCAACTATTTGATCCCCTTACATAGTACTTTACCACAGCTCATTCCTTTCTGAAACGCTCCATGAAACAGCTGAGGACCTGTTAGTTTATGTTTATCATGCAAAATCAAAAAACTTTATAAGTTCGATGAATTCAGTCAACAGGTAAGATGTGAGCTTCTCATTTGGAGTGTTTAAAACAAAATTTGGGAGTTTTTTTAGCATCTTTTTCACTCTCATGAACTGAGACATGTCAGTCAATGTTTGAATCAGATTTAAAGTCATCCTACAAAAATGGAAAACAAAACTTGAACTTTGTATATGTTTCTATTTAGCAATGTTCTGTGTAAACTGAATATTTATCCTAAATTATTTGATATGGAAAATCATATATTAATTTAAATGTAAACCACAGAATCTTGTTCCTTCGGTGTTGCAGGCCAGTGATTTCAGGTAGAGTTCAGTTAAGGAAGCAACACATGCTTGTAGAGCTGAGGGTGACGTGGAACAGTGTAATAAAACTAGATAGCTGGCAATGTGTCTATTTTCAGGGTGTGAAAGGTTTCTAGAGGGGTAGAAAGGATAATGTTAATGAGTTGGTTTATTTTGGTGTTCTGGGTTGCCAGCTGCAACCATGAGTGGACCGTAAGTCGTTGCCAAACACCTGGAGACTTTTGTGAGAGGAGTAGAGAAGACTAAGGGGAGCAGCATAGCTTCAGACAGATGGGTTTGATATGCCAGTGTGTCCCCTGGGTGCATGGCTCCAGTGATGGCTGTGACCAGGAACAGAGTTAAGAATGTCAGTACTGTGAAAGAGTGAGCAGCCTGTGCGTGGGAGAGAGGGAGTCTCTATTTCCAGTAGCTGTGCTGCCGTGTATGTGTGCACAAGTGCAGGAGTTAGTATTTATCTTTCGTAGTGTAGCAGTGGTCTCTCTTGAGGCCTACAAAAGTTAATTAGGAAGGAGGCTGGCTCTGATGCTTTTCAACTGTCAGTGTTTGTGTTTCTGAGTACTTAAGATTAATTCCTATGCTTTGCTGCCACAAAAGGAGACTGTGCATGTGGTATGCATAAATGAGAACCTGGAGGGGAATAAGAAACAACTAAAGGAATATGTGAAATAACTACACTTTCAAAATAAATGCCAACTGCAATGTAATTACACGTGGGCAAGCTTATTCTCGTAGTGTCATAATAAACTGTAGGTCTTCCTTCTTTGGAGGGAAGGGAAATAGCAGCACTTGGATGCCAGCTTAGTTAACAGTGCAGTGGGCAAGAAAGGAAAGCATTCGGTCACCCCAGTGATAGCATGCTGTTCACTGTGGAAATACGAGAGTTTTAAAGATATGAGAAAAATTAATACAAAGAGAATTTATCAGAAAATATAGATCTGTAGTTTCAGGAATCGCTCATTCAATTGATTACTAAAAAATCAATTTCTTTCTCGTAAGTGACTCTCATTCCGTACATTCACACTGAAAGGATATTGCATAACTGTTGCTTGTTATTCTCAATGTATTATTTAATGCGAAAGCCACAGTTCAGCATTTGATCTATTTGTATACTGTTCTTACACATGAAACCAGATTTCTTTGGATTCAGTTCATTGTACCTTAAAAATAATTTGAATACCACAGGTTTCACTGTAAACAAGGAAGGATTCCAACCCTTGGGTCATTGCCGGCTGTTTTTAGAAAAAGCACTTTTGGAATTGCTTCAATAATTATCAGTGTTCTCTTATAAAACTAAATAGGCTTTTCCGGTGATGGAAAGAAGATTAAAGGTCATACAGTTCAAAATAAGTTTCTGAACACTGCCAGATTAAGGAAAATGAAATCTTTCATTAATATGGTCAACTTCTTTAAGATTTAGCTGTTCATAATGGTGTATGAGCCGAAGAAAAACAGCAGGGACAACATGACTTGCCTAAGCATTCTTTCACTGCAGCCCCCTTCGTAAAATGTGAGTGACAGCGTCCCTGCCCTTGAACTTCACATTGAATAAAGCATAGCTGACAATGTGAGCAGAGTTTTCCTCTGAAGTTGTGCTGTTCTGAGGACTAAACAGACACTAATGTTGCCCTGAAAAATTAAATTTGCTTTGAAATAGTGGATTAGTGTTTTATTTCAGTTATGTATCACTGAAATGCAACAAGCCTCAGAGAAGAAGAAAATCTTGTCTATGTAATTCTGTTTGAGTAGTTTTTTTGAATGAATTTCTTGAAAAATGTGAATATATTTGCTCATACACATTGTCCCAGTATTAAATATTGCAAAGCTATAGTGGATAGACTTAGGCATTCGTGTTAATACGAATGTAACATACAACGTTAATACACAGAGTGTTCTATACATATGCAAACTAATTAGACTTTTTTTTGGCCAGTGTACTTATTCCAAGCTGTGTTGTAAAGTGCAAGAATTCAAGGAAGTGTGACCGTGAGGTCACTAAATTCAAGCATATCAGGAAATGTGTGTAGCTATATCAGATTTACGCAAATACCAAAGTAGAGTCCTTCGTGTTACTGCATTATTAATTTGCCAGTTGTAGTAAGTATCAAGACAATTTTTGAATGGGTTAAAATACTAGTGTGTAAGTGACTCGTAGCAGTTTCCTTCTACAGCACAGCACAATAGCTA